CACCTGGCCTTCAACATGCCAGCAGGCAATAACAGATACTGCTATAAACCAAACATGTGAAAAGCCATCTTTTCAAACCAGAGTATGAGTCTGCTTCAACTCCATACAGACATGTGTCACTTATTGGGACATAGGCCACATTCAGAACAGTGGACAAACTAGCCTGAGGGTAAAATATGGTGACCCTATAAAAAGCTTGCCGTCTTATCCACTAATAGGCACTAAAAAAGATTCTCCGTGGGAAAGTATTTAAGTGAGACCAAGGGCTCATTCCCAATGAAATTATTGTTCCATGAAGATCTTTACACCTCCACTGGGGACTCCTGTAAATGTACTCCAAATACCAGATGAACACCCCTCCTCTTGTTTCCAATGTACTCATATAATAACCAGCTTTTCTGTATTCTACTAAATGCCAGCATGTTAATCTGATTGCATTCAGTCAGAGTTCCCAAGGAACTGGATTGACCTAAAAGATAGTTTCATGGGGAAAGAGTTCTAGGTAGATTTAGACTCTGCCTGAATTGGGACAACATATCAAGCAGCTACACACACACACTCACACACACACACACACACACACACACACACACACAGTCTGTTTATATTGTATATGCAATGTATAAATCAGCCCTTGCTGGAGAACTGAGTAATAAAAAAGACACCTAATTTAAATGACTTCTTATGGCTCTTCAGAGGCACACAAATGTAAAATGACCCTTCATATAAAACTTAGTCACATCTATGTTGCACTTAACCCCTTACATACCAACCACATAAAATTTGCCTATTAGCAAATATGATATTACACATGGCCCTAATAAGATATATATATATATATTGTAAAGAAGGCAAAATTCAAAGTAGAACACAGTTGTGAATGGACTGCTAAAACATGTTTCTATATGCAGTTGTATCTTGCACAGAGACTCAACTTTAATAATATTAAACATACATGTGCCTTATTTTTTTAGTAATTAAACATACACCACAAAATGGAGCGTGGAGATATATTGTAGTGCACAGCAATGAAATTTGCAAAGATAGTGAACATTCATTTCAAACTTACCCATAATGGTTTTTTTTTCTTCCAGAACAAACCCTGTTCATCAATCTACTACCAGCCACCTGTCTGAGAGGAGATCACACAACACACATACACAGAGAAAACATACTTACAGCAGGCACAATTACAAAGGTAAGTCCACATCAAACAAGCAAAGAGGGCAGGCTCTAATCGCCTCATACCTTTGTATCACTCTTTGTTAGAAAAGGAACTAATAACCTCCAGTTGGTAAGTTCAGCAAGGGGAGATCAGAGAGAGATGTCAGCTTTGTGTTGACATGGGACTTAACCAACTAGGGCTATCTTTTTTACTAAACAGCCAATTTCTCACCTTCTAAATCCCATGCAACACATTAGGACAATTCATTTGGTCAAGGATAAGGACTCCCTCTGAATGGTCAAATCACTGTGCATAGATAATGACAACTGCATTCAAATTTGCCAGAACCACAGCATTTAGTCAAATCATCTCCCAGTGATGAAAAGCTACCTAAACAGATATATCACCTGAACATTTCAAACTAACTCCATGAAAAATCACTTCTTAGATTCCACCTTTTATTGTTTACCTTGGTAATCTCTCCCACTGGAAAACATTCATTAGAGAACAGGTCCTCTAAGTTAGCAAATTAACAAACTGACTGCTTGTCACCAACAACTTTCAGAGTGTCTGGCTTCCAAATTTATTCTCATCAATGCCCCAGTTAATCTGACTCAAGCTGCTGATAAATATCTCCATTATAGTCAGATAGTGGACAATGTTAGCAGCTGACCTGCCCCTCCACAAGCATCTATGTTATTTTTGTTAGGCTCAAGTCAACCTTACCTTCCTGAGTTAGCTATATCATTCTCTCCACTAAATAAATATTTAGAGAAGCTATACAAAATCAGAGCCTCTTGTGCAATCCAAACATACATACCCAGAGACCAGCCATCATGCACAGCACGGGTTATGATATAGTTCAAATTAGAGAATCAGACTGGCAATACTGCTACAATGGTATTCTAGAAGTTGGAGTAAGTGGGTGGAATATTGTCACACACTATGTTTGGGGCACAGAAGTGACGCAACTTCCGGTTTTCCCCATAGTTTGTAATGGATAGATGATAAAAATTGCTCATCATAGACAACATATTTGGTATATTTAAAGAACCTTTTACTTTACAACAGCAAAACAGTATGAGGAGGGACTACCCCCAGAAGCACAGATGAGATATAAAGAGAAACTGGAGCTTGGCACTTTGAAGATTTGACCGTACAAATTTCCCACAGATGCCTGCATGAAAGATGGAAAGTGCAGGAAAAGGAATGACCACATTATTATTAACAAATCATTTCCCAGTACTTGCACATTCTTCCTTTTCTCACCTAAAATATTATATCTATATAAAATTATCTCAAGACAAATATACAAGTCCTATAATTTCAGCTTAAGGTAAAAAAGCAATAATAATAAACAAAATAGGATACTGTCAATTCTGATGCAATAATACATTATGCTTAACTGCACAGTCAACATCAAATTTTAATAATGTACAATAGGTAATACCGATGAAAGTAAATGCATCAGGCTTCATGCCTATGAAAGTTCACACTTTTAAGTTAAACATAATAAGTAACACACTTTTCTTTTTATAACATTTGTAGTGGAAGTGCACGAAGTAGGTTTTTTGTCAATTTTGATGCAATATTACATAATGATTAATGGGATAATTACCATCAAATTTTAAAAATCTACTATTAATAACTTGGACATTAATAAAATATGATTACCACTGGCATTCTTGTCTATGGGAATTCTAAGTCCCACAATGAAAATGCCAATATGTAAAAGATAAAAATTTCATGAAAATGTACAACTGGAAAAGAGGCCAATTAGACTGCTTTTCCAACTCGGGCTATATTTTAGTCCTATGTTTCTTCCCTGTACCTTTAGGAAGAGTAAGTGACATCATTTTTCTTTAATGGTCATTTTAAAGGCAGTGCCCAAAATTTTTTTTTTCAATTTTGATGCAATATTACATAATGCTAACCAGCATAATTACCATTAATTTTAATAATAAAATAAAAGTATCAAGGATTTCAAAAAATGTGAATTGCAAAGATCTTCAAGCATATGGAATTTTCAAAGCCACACCTTGAAAATGTCAATATGTGAATAATTTTAATTCTAACAAAAAACTATATTTACTTCCAGAAAATTAACTAATGAGACAGATTTTCCAACTGAAGCTGTATTTTAGTCCTATGTGTCTTTCCTGAAAGTGTGAGAAGAGTGAGTGACATAGGTTCCCTTAATGGTCACTATGGCAGCAGAGCCCAAAATGGGGTTTTCTTCAATTTTGATGCAATAGTACATAACGCTTAACAGTATAATGACCATCAATTTATTAAAATAAAATAAAAGTATTAGGGGTATTCAGAAAATGTGACCAATAAAAGTCTTCAAGCCAATGGAAGTTCATAGTCACACCTTAAAAATGCCAAAATGTAAATGAGAGAGAACTGTACTGCAAAGAGTTTTCCATTTTCAACGCCTTTTTTACATAAAACAAAATAATCAATTTACTGTCATCTGTCATTTTTATATGATCATCTAAGAAAATTGTTGACACAGGAAAACTAGAGGATCAGAGAGGTGATACCACCTCCGGGCATTGTACCACCAGCTGGAGTAAGCACATTCAAATGGAAAACCAAAAAAAGGGACCTCTGAGCACCTCCAGAGTTGTACTTGACAAGCTCTACAAAATGCAGTAAACAAGAGTACTCAATATTTTTGTTGAAAATTACCTTTTAAAACAAAATCATGGGGAAAAGTTAAAGTTTAAATCCAAATTTGTGAAGAGATATTCATGGTGAAAAGTAAGTCAAAGGTCAATTTCAAGATCACAGTTAATTTGTCAGTATATGACTTCCTATTCAAGTTCAATAGTAACAATGGACATATCTCTGCCAGTTTTGGAGATTAAATACCCTAGTCACACTAGAGGCGGAATGAGCTAGAATGTAGTCAGAATGAGAATTCTTTGCATTCAAAATATATGGACCCATTCTTGTGTCCAGTCGGAATGTTTTGCTCATGCCTAAAACTTTTAAAGGGCATTCCAAGTGGAAAAATATCGAATGGTATAACTATTCTTATTGTATTCTAACTGCACTGTGAGTGCATTCTAAATATTCTTACAGCATTTCAACACCATTTGAAACATTCTGATAGCGTTCAAAGGAGAACCGAAATGGCAAGACACTTCAATTCCTGCCAGAATGTTCTGCATGTGCCTCAAATGAGTTGGAATGCAACTCAAATGCATCTTGATTGCTGGCCGAAATTCTATTTCAGCCAGCAGTCAAACTTCCCTCGTATGAAATTCAAAGTACATTCTAAATATTCAGATTGTATTCTGACAGCATTATCCATATTCCTAGTTTTCCAACTACATTCTTGCAATTTAACCAGTCTTAAAATGATATATAGAGAAAGCGCACATATATAACATGTTTTTGGAAATTTTAATGTAAATTGTGATAATGACTAACACCAAAATCACCACCACTCTTTAATTATGCACTATGGTTACTGTGGACATTCAAAATATGTAGCTAGCACTAGGCTTCAGACCCATAGGAATATACAGTCATACAGGAGTAATGATGATTTGTCAAAAAAGGAAAAAAACTTTCAAAACTAAAAAGAAGATATATAATCCAATCAAGCTGATAATGCACTCTGTATTATTTCCCACTCCTGTAAGTTAGAGAATATTTGTTACTTTAACATCATATGGCATTAACAAGTAAAAAGTGGTCTATGCTGACAAACCTGACAAAAGATATAGGTGATGGTCAGATGGCTATATGTTCAGACGCAATGTCTGGCAATAAAAATAAATTAAGTCTCTCTAAAAAAAAAAAAAAAAAAAAAACTCCTTACCTGTAGTGAAAACTGTGGACAATGTCACAAGATCTTAAGGCTCTTATCTCCACTTCAGTTTAGAATGACCAACCTAGCAAAATAAAAAGACAGAAAATAAGACACTCCAGACCAAACCTTTTTTCATTCATTAACATTCTTTATTCACCATGCCAAAGGGCGGCATTGTCAGTTTGAATGCTGTTTTGCACGCATTGCTGGTGCAGGCTTTGATCTAAGACTTTGCTCAGCAGAAGCAGAGCATTGGCAGGTCATGGTGTTACAGTAAATCAAATTATACATAACAAGTGTCCTACTTCCAAGGAAACAGAAAAGAAATATGAATAGAACATCTCATTTCTGATCTACAGCATCCACAAGGCCTTTTCCCAGCAAACCCACTAGTGGTCATTAGGACAGTCACAGCCATCACTGGACTGTCTATATTTCCAAATACGGCTGAAAGGCTTACAAATTATTTTGGAAACTGGCATCTTGGCTTGTCAGGACAGCTGTGGTGGGCTTACAAAATTCTCATAAAGTAATTTGATGTAACCAGCTTGTATGCATGATGCCCCTGTTGAAAAATACTTCTTTGTAGTGCACACTGTACTTCAGACACAACCTAACTACTACCCAAAGCCTATAAAACGCAATACAATGTTTCAATAAACATCCCAAAAAATATTGAAGAATTAAGGCAATTTTCATATTCCTTCAAGGGATTTAGGCTTCGTTCACATGCAATGTCTATTTTCTAATTTCTATTTTCTATTTGCGCTATCTTATGATCACGGTCTGTGCCCTGAATATCCCGCCGCGTGATTACTGGCAGCGCGAGCCAGTTACTTATAGTAACTTATATTAACTGGCTCGCGCTGCCAGTAATTACGCCGCGGGATATTTAGGCCACAGACCGTGATCATAAGACATACCGCAAATAGAAAATAGAATTTAGAAAATAGACATTGCATGTGAACGAAGCCTTAGTTACTGGGAGACTGTTACTGATCTGAGCAAGACGAAAAAGGAAATTTCATATTCATTCAAGAGACTTTGTTAGCAAAACATCATCAGGTCGAGATGGTTAAGCTTAGATTATACTGTAGGGTGTACATATACTGCTTGTAAATCCCTTTCATGCGGCGTCTCTGCTGAGGCAGACAGTGGCTGTACAAAATCAAACGGATTCACCACGTGTAGCCTCTAAAATTTTGTCAAGCTAAAACTTATGACATATTTTGCAAATTGTAAGCTGTAGGCCAAAGCATCATTGTAGATAGAGTTACACAGCTCCAATCCTGTAGTAACATGAAAATCTGACTCCCAGAGTCAAAATTTCATGGGTGGAATCAGATTTTTATTATGACCCCCCCCCTTACCCTCCCCCCCCCCCCCCCCCCCACACACACACACACACACAAAACTTAAATATAATGGGAAAAACAACAGCAAGTGACAAGTTAGGCTTGCTTTATATAAAAAAATTTCAATAAAGAGGCCAAGGGGCTGATTTCTTTAGCTAAAAATAAAATATGTAGCATTTTGACAGTCCAAATCCTACAGGTAGTAAGAGGAATACTTGTTCTAAAAATAATCAATTTTAACCAGAATTTTCACCACCAGACTTTCAAATACTAACAGGATGTGTCACAATGCAAACTATGTGGAAAACCTGAGGATCAGAGAGGCGATAGAAAAGGAATATATGACAAAAAAAATTCACACATTCAAGAAACAAGGCAGCAAAGCTGTCAAATGTACAGACAAAAAGCAGAAAATAACAATGCACAAAATATGCTACTGTCAATTCTGATGCAAAAGTACATTATGCTTAACTGCAAATTCAACATCAAATTTTAATTAAGCTCAACAGATATTACCGATGTAAGTAAAATATGTAACAACCATAAGACTTCAGGCCCATGAGAATTCAACTGCACACTTTGAAAATGCCAGAATGAGAAAAATGAAAATTCATGAAATTGCATTAATGCAATAATAAATGATAAATCAATTCAGCTGACTTTCTGTAGAAAATTTGATTATCATTCAGCTTTATGCCCATGGGAGTTCTGAGTTCCACACTGAATATGCCAATACGATAAAAAAAGGAATCTTTCACTAAAATGCATAAGTTGCAGTAAAAGAAGTCAATTAATTAGACTGCTTTTCCAAAGGAAGCTGCATTTACGGCCCATGTTTCTTTAATGTAAATTTGAGAAGAGTGAGTGACATGGTTTTCCTTTAATGGGCACTAAGGCGGCAGTGCCTAGAATAGAGTTTTCTTCAATTTTGATGCAATATTGCATAATGCTTAACAGCATAATGACTATCAATTGTTAATGATAAAACAGAAGTATCATGAATATTCAGAAAATGTGACTATAAAAGGTATTCGGGACTATGGAACTTCAAAGTCACACCTTGAAATTGCCAAAATGTAAACAAGATAGAACTGTACTGAAATGGGTTTATTTCCATTTTAACACTTTTTTTTTATATAAAACAATTAATTTACTGTACTTTTTTAATGATCAACTAAGAAAATTGTTGAGATGTAGAAAATATCAGTAGAACAACGTTAAATGTTCAATTTGCTCCATTCTGAGATTCTGAACATAGTAAATGATTAAATCTGACAAACTGCAATGATTTGCTTTTTTTTCATTATTGACACTTAATTACACTATAGATTAATAAAGGTTTAACACCATTTTTATGTAATCAACAAACAATATTGTAAAGATGAAAAATTTCTCAAAAGAACAGTTATACGTATCTAATTAGTTCAATAATAAGACTGTAATCATGCCTAAGAATTGAATCTGAAGTAAAAGCACTCATAAACAAAACAAGGCATAACTGCATCACAACTGAACCAACCAAGCTTATTTAAGAACTTTACCTGTATTTTAGTAAGATTAAGCACTCCTGTGAGTTTCATGTCAATAAGCCTATTGGTTTTCCTTGAAATGTGCTTACAGTGTTGCATATATGATGAAAAGTGAGAAAACAGCATAACTTCTAAAATAATGGCCCGATCATGCTGATTTTCAATCATGACCTGCGTTTTAGTAAGATTGATTACACCTGTGAGTTTCATGACAACAGGCGTATCGGTTTGCCTTGAAATGTGTTTACAGTGTTGAATATATGCTGAAAAGTGAAAAAACAACATAACTGCTAAAATAATGGCCTGATCATGCTGATTTTTGAACTTGAGCTGCCTTTTATGAATATTCATCAGCTCTGTAAATAAAAAGCCAAAAGGTAAAATGTCTTTCACTTATCCTGTTTACGCTAAAAGTGCACGATGACGGCGACGACAGACGCAGGTGATGGCAATATGTACAGACACATCTGTGTCTGTACATAAAAACTAGAGGATCAGAGAAGTGATACTGCCTCTGGAAATTGTACCACAAGCTGGAGTAAGGGTATTCACATGGAAAACCAAAAAAGGGACACCATCACCAGTCTTGTATATGACAAGCTCTATCAAATGCAATAAACAAGAGTTCTAAAAATATGTTAAAAGAAGTGAGAAATCAGTAAAACTGTAAAAATGGTCCAATCAAGCGGATTTTCAAATTGACCTGTATTCAAGGTCACAATAAGATTGCCAATATGTGGCTTCCTATTCAAGTTCAATAGTAACGATGGGGGTATCTCTGCCAGTTTTCAAGTTGTAAGGGATGGAAAATTTACAAAAATTTAGTTTAGTCCATGGTGAAAAAGTAGGCCAAATGTCAAACTCAAGGCCACAGGAAGATTGACAATATGTGACTTCCCATTCAATTTCAATACTAACTATGGGCGTATCTCTGCCAGTTTTTAGATGTATGGGTTGTAAAATTTGTAAAGAGCAGTTCATCAGAAAAGGTCACATTAAGATTGCCCGTATGTGACTTAGGCCACACTTTTTTATTTTTATGGATGACATCCTGTGCGCGCACCAATTTTCGTCCGTTCTCCAAAAAAAAAAAAAAAAAAAA